TTTCTGTATGATTTACCAATCAATATTTATACTATTTTGTGAGATAATCCATTTTATTCTTATCTGAATTGTAGCAAAGTTCAACTATGTGTGGAGAAAAAGTAGGCAAATTATAAAGGACATAATTTTGTTTGGTTTGTCATATTTAAAACGAATAGAAAGGAGAAATAGAATTTAGCTATAATTTATATCATATTCTTTTTTGTACAAGACAATATCCATAGACAAATTTGGTATTGCCTTATCATTACTATTGTGCTTTAAAACTTTCAGTACGTAAAATAAGTAATATATTAATCACATTTTCCATGTAAAATAAAATTTTAAAATACTTGACAAAATCTCATTTTTTTTTATCTTGTCAATTTCTGTTTTTACTTCTGTGTAATTTTCATAACTGTGTTAAATTTTTAATAGGTGAAAGAAATTTCTATGCCTTTATATGCCCTTTTCTATGCCTTATTTTGAAATACAAAATATTTGGAAGTATATATACTTTTTTATTTATAGTGTGTGAATTTTAATGGTAGCAGCTTGAAAGCTGTTGTAGGAATCCTTTGTTTTACAAGTTTTATCTATATTGTTTGCTTAGCATTTATTTTAATTTTAAATTGAATTATTTTTACCCTTTATATTATAAAAATTTCAGTAATCTGTTGTTCAATAATTTTTGAAATCGTAATTCATCCTCAAAATTTAAGTCGGCTGTGATTTTAGATTCTATCTGAAATTTATGTGAAATAAAAGTTCTAATATCAGTTCATTTTGTCCTTTAACAGGTAAATTACAGCAAGTTGCAGAAAAAGAAATCAAAGGAGCTCCATATACTATAGTGGAATTTAATGGAAAACTTCTTGCAGCAATTAATAGTACTGTGCGTTTGTTCGAGTGGACACCAGAACGAGAGCTGCATAATGAATGTAGTTACTTTAATAATATTATTGCTTTGTTTCTGAAAACAAAAGGAGACTTTATCTTAGTTGGTGATATCATGCGCTCTATGGCACTCTTAGTTTACAAGCCCCTGGAAGGAAGTTTTGAAGAGGTAGAATTTTAATATTTAAGCTATGAAGAAAAAAATAAATAAACAAACATTCTATATTTTGACTTTTTCTTTTAAGATTCTTTATATTTAGAACTGAATTTTTTTAAGCATTTAATTTTGGAGAAGTGATAAAAATCTGGGAGTTTATTGAAAATTTGTAACTAATGGTTTAAGTCAAGTAGATCCTGAGTTTAGGTTGTAAGTTTTTTTTTTTTTTTTTTTTTTTTTTTTTTGTTATTCAATACGTTTATCTATTCATATCTAAATAACGTTTGTATTTTCATGTGAGTATTATTTCATAATGAAATATTTTTCATCTATGTAATTTTGAGTTAAATAGTAATTCATTCTGAAAAAGAAATTGATAATTTATTTCTTAAAATTCTTATAATGTGATTCTGTCCCATAATTTGTGCTATGTATCTTTTATATATGATGTCTTTAAAATATATTTCTTCAAATTATAAGAAATGCAAATGATGTAAATAATTAAACAGTTGCTTATAATTTGAAAATTAGTGACCTCTATATAAGATTAGCTGTTTATTGAAAAGGAATGAACTGAAGAACATTTATGCAGTCCCAAAATTGCTTCAAAATTTTTTTGTGAATAATGCTAGTAAATTAATACAAATGCAGTTAATTAGTCATTAGTGGTAGAGATTTGTTCTTTTTATTAGTGAGTCCAACTTTGCAATTATTTAAAGTAGTAAATCATCAAAACTCATTATAAAATTTTAACATTGTCTTAAAATCTTGAAACATTGTCTAACATTGTCTAATCTTGAAATTTTTTATGAAAAGGCATGCAGCTATCCTTTTTAATAAAAAAAAAACATATAAATAAAAATTAACTCTCCAAGCAATTAAGAATTTAACCTCAGAACTCTAGAAGTTTTCAATAAGTCGTATTTTATTGATTACAATTATAAAATTACCCTTTCAATTTGTACCTTATCTTCATTTATTTTAATATGTATTCTACTTTAATTATCTGGATACATTTAAAAATACATGTCTGCCTTCTTAAAGATATCCAGACAAATATTTTTGAATGTGTGTTTGAAAACATTTATTATGCAGTATTTTTTACTGTTATAATTTATTTCAATAGATTGCTAGAGATCATCAACCAAACTGGATGACAGCTGTAGAAATACTGGATGATGATACTGTACTTGGTGCTGAAAATTCCTTTAATCTCTTTGTTTGTCAAAAGGATAGGTAAACATAAATAAATTTTTATGTTAATTATTTTAAGATTCCATAGCTTTTTATGCTCAATTATGGACAGTCCAGAGTTTTTAGCATTAAAGACTATAATATGATTGTTGTCTCACTAGTGTTACTAGGATTCTGTATCATTATTGAGGATCTTAAAGTAAGTGTGTAGGAAGAGAGAGTGCACATACCTGAAAAATAGGGATGAAAACTGAAGGAAAAAGTGTCAAGCAACATTTATATTATTTAAAGACTCTTCTCAAGACTGAGCACTACCAGTCTTTGTAGTATTGCATAGATCTAAGAACACAAAAAATCCTCTAATCGAATCCTACCAGTGTCTTCAATGTTTGCCAAGTCTTTTTTCATAGATTTCTTATTGTATTTTAGAAGGAAATTCATTCATGAAAAACAGTTTTATTCATAATTTGTGCTTGTGAAATCTGAAAGTGTAACAGATGAATCGGTGAGTTCTCTTAATATTACTGAGGATCTGTAGAAGAGGTGTTTATAAAAGTTAATAAGTTTTTTATTTTTTTATTCCTAGCAAACATTGTTAATACAAGATAATCCTTGGTGTGTAGAAGCATATAGTACAAACTCAGAAGAAGTTAAGCACATGCAAAATAAAATTAAAATATGCTAAAAGCATTCAATTTAAAATCATAAGTAATACAAAGTAATCAACCATCTATAAGGCCTGAATTATCTGTCTAGTACAGTGGAATCTCGAGATACAAGTTTAATTCGTTCCAGCATTGACCTCGTGTATCGAATCTAGAAGCAAAATCCCATTCAAAATAATGGAAATCCAGTTAATCTGTTCCGCACCCTAAAAAATATCAACATAAATATCAATTTTTCTAATAAATAACACTGGTAAATAATATAATCGTAGTTTATCTTTATGAAGAGAGTCCTGACTGGCAATAGGGATGTGGGGAAGACGAAACAGGTTACTGTTGGGATGGAGAGTGCCCCTCTGATTCGGAAGGCTCTCTCTTCTTGGGAATTTAAACCGAGCAGGTTCTGGGTTAGAATCCCTTAATTTTCTTTTAGTTGCAGGTTGCTTTATCAAAACTTATGTAATAACACTTGCTTCTGTCTCCTTTTTAAGAGGCTCTAAAATGTGATACTACGTTGTCATTATACAAGTTTATGGTGCACCCACATACTGATATGATGATTTTCTTCAAAGAAAGTTTTCAATTCTGATCTTACTGGAAGAGAAGGCCTCATCTCCTGTTCCCTCCTCCCCTAACAAAAGCTCTTCTACCACCTCTTGCTACTGCTCTTTGTGAAGTTCTTTAAGTTCGTCTGTTGTAAGTTCTTCACTATGCTCCTCCACTAACTCATCCAGATATCTAAGTCCGAGCCATACTTTTCCCCAGACACACAATTTCTTCGACTAGCTGCACTATGTTGTCCACAGGTTGAGGATCGAAACCTAAGTCAGGAATAATCTGAGGCCATTTCATGCTGAATTCCAGGTCCTCACTGAGAAATCTTCCCAAGCCTTATCAATAAGGTTTAAACAATCAAAATCATAAAAACAACCTTGTATTTAGCGTAAGTATATTGAAACACTCAATCGATTTCGAGGGCAGCTAAAGGTCCCTCCTCATCAGGAGAAAGAAATACCTAGAAAGAAGAAAAATAAAGGGGAAGGAGTCTCAGAAACACGTGGTCCTTATCAGCACGTTTTTGGTTCTAAATTGTTTAAACCTAGACTAGAAGAGAAACACGCTAATGTGACAATCAAAATCGTAAAAACAACCTTTTAGTATATTGAAACACTCAATCGATTTCGAGGGCAGCTAAAGGTCCCTCCTCATCAGGAGAAAGAAATACCTAGAAAGAAGAAAAATAAAGGGGAAGGAGTCTCAGAAATACGTGGTCCAAACAATTTAGGATGTTGAAGTGATCCTTCCAAAATTCTCTGATGCTCAGGCTTTTATTTTCAGTTACTTCAAAGCACCTTTGAAACAAGGCCTTCGCGTACAGCTTCTTAAAGTTGGAAATAACTTGCTGGTTCATAGGCTGGAGAAGTGGTATGGTGTTGGGTAGAAGAAACTTGACTTGTATGAACTGAAATTCCTCCAGCAAATCACTTTCAAGCTCTGGGAGTTATGCAGAAGCATTATCAAGGATGAGCAAAGCCGTGAGTGGCAATTTATTTTCGTGAAGGTATTTCTTCACTGAGGGACCAAAAACCTCATTGACCCACTGGATGAAAAATTGCCATGTTACCCAAGCTTTACTGGTGGCCCATCACATCACATTCAGTTGGTTTTTCTGCACCTTCACCCTATTGATATCGTGAATTTTCTGAGTGGTAGACGAGCAAGGGCTTGATTTTACAATCTCCACTTGCATTGGTGCAAAAAAGAGATTAAGCCTATCATTTATTGGCTTGTAATCAGGCAAAGATTTTTCCTATTACATGATGTAGGTCTTGTTACGCATTTTCTTCCCCCCCCCCAAAAAAAGCATCCATGGCTTGCCTTAAATGCTATTTCATCTTCACTCAACATACCTGATATTTTTCGGAGTAAGTCCAAGTACAGATTCTTAGCCTTAGTGCAAATTGTTGGAAAATATAGCTTATTTTAAACCTTTTACTGCATCATCTCTCCTCCTTGAAATGTTTATTTAGTTTAGTTCTTATTTTAATGTAATATAGTAGTTACTTCTACTTCTTTTTCTTGCTGCCACTGTTTGCGTTGAGAACGGACTGTTTCAACCTAATTGAGATGCAAAAACGAAACGTGATGTTACGTCATCTGAAAAGCCGATTCGTGCCGATAGCTGATTGGTTGCCGTGAGATGACGTCATTCATACTTCTGCTATAAGTATCTCGCGTCGCTCTGGCTCAACCCTTCTAGTTCCTGCTTTCCTGGCACTTGAGTGAGCGGTTTCCAGCCCCTTCAGAAGGATGCATGCAGTCCAGTGAATAAAGTGCCTTGGTTCAGGTTTGCGGGATGGCTGTTCCTGAATAAAGTTCCTTGGTGCCTGTCCGCGGGTTGATTGTTCCGGAAAAAGTTCCTTGGTTCATATCGATAAGATGATTGTTCCAGAATAAAGTTCCTTGGTTCCAGAGATTTCTACCATGTGAGTGACTGCCGTGGGCGGCATCCATGTTCTTCAATGAAGGCGGCATTTAAAATACGTGAGCGGCGATTCCTTGTGCAAACGGAGTTAGGCCGGATTTTAAGTGTTTTCAAGAACTTGATTTAAAATTTTCAGGTGTTTTCTCAACCATTGATCATGGGACGTTATTGACTGTGTAGCCAACTTCACTTTTTAGGCTGCATAATTACTGTTTAGGACTTTTTGTTTGTATTGAATGCCAGTGTTTTGGAGACCAGGTAAAAATATTATTTGATGAATGATGGTTATATTATATTTTTCCTAAGACTCTGATATTGTTGAAATTTATTTTCTGTGTTTTTATTATTTATTATATTGCTAATAAATTGGTTAAGTTCAAAATCTTTTATTGTCTTCAATGTCTGCACAACATGATATCTCAGGGAGCTTTTATTGCTACTACTGCTAAATGTTTAATTTCTTTAAACTTTGCTTTAGCATCATTTTGGTTATGGGCCTCCAGCCCCTGAGTTATTTTTAGTGCAGACTTTTGAAGTTTAAAGTTAATTTAGGACTTAAGAGATTGGGGGGCATTTTTTTGTTAAAATTCAAATATGGCTACTGTTAGTGTCATGCATAATATTGCTAAACTTGAGGCATGTAATTACTTTACATGGTCCAAAGATATGAAATTTGTTTTAAATGAAAAAAATGCATGGCTTTTGGTTAAAGGTATTGAAAAATGTCCTGATTTAGATTATGTTAAGGGTATTACAAAAGAAATTATTGCCGACTATCAAAATAGAAGTCGATTGGCATCATCTTTAATTTATATGAAAGTAATCCCTGAATATAGAAACTTGGTATGTGAAATTGATGACCCGGTAGTGGCATGGAATACGCTTGCCAAATACTTTCAGCCAGATTATCGGTCAAGACATATGTCCCTGTTTTCAGAGTTCTTAAATTGTAAAATTAAGCCAAATGAAAGTATTAGTTTCTTTTCTTCTAGATTAAAACGCGTAACTGAACAATTAGCTGATATTAATCAGGCTGTAAGAGACGTATATATATATGTTTCCAGTTTCTTAGGTTCCTTCCAGATAAATTTGATCAAGTAGTTCAGAATATTTTGAGGTGGCCAGATGAAAAGTTCATTTTTAAAAATGTTGAACTTGAAATACTAGCAGAGGAAACGCGTCTTAATTTAAGAGGAGATAGATAGGAAAAACTTCCAATAAGACTATAGAAGTTCAAAGTACTCAACTGTTGAACCCAAATTTAAGCAGATTAAAGGGCTCAAGTGTTATAAATGTGGTCGTCCAGGTCATATTCAAAAATACTGTAGAATGAGAAGGTAATTTTTCCAGATCACCCTCACCTGCTTCTTCTGTTTCCTCAGATGTATCTAGTAGTAATAAAACATCTCCCTAAGTGTAAGAACAAACCCAAGTTGTGTAAAGGTAAAAATAATTCCCATGCACAGTCCCATTTCATAGCTCAAGCTAATGTTAACAATTTGGAAAAGAAAATGATCATAGTTGGATTTTGATACGGCTGCATCTCATCATTTTTGTAAAAGTCGTGAATTGTTTGATACTTTTTCTCCTGTGAAAAATGAGAATATGCTAGTAGCTATTGATGGGGTAACTTTTCTAATTCATGGGAAGGGTACTGTTAAAATGAAATTTGGGGATACGGTTATTTTCCTTAAAGATGTATTATACTCACCTGAACTGAGACGAAATTTTAATATCTGGACCTAGGGTGGATATCAATGGAGCAAGATTTTATGGTAAAAATGGGCAAATTAAAGTTACTGATGATGAAAATGAAACTTTGTACAAAGCTAAGTTGATAGGAAGTAACTATCATGTATTCCCGAAAATAATCAAAAAGGAGGGTCAAATCT